GTAATATTTAGCTTATTAGTTATAACAGCAGCTTTAGAAATTACGTTCGTTTTATTTTTTAAATTGCTTTATCATTAACTGTACCATTAGTAGCGGCATCTTTTGGTTTAGTACAAATAACATCTCTGAACATGATACTAGCAGTAGTTTCATTTAACTTTTACAAGATTCTTAAAACAATTATTGAGTTGCCCAGCGTGCGTGTTTCTAAATTCAATTAATTGTTACAGCTTTCTGTTATGCCCAGCGTGCGTGTTTCTAAATTCAATTAATTGTTACAGCTTTCTGTTATGTTTCGTAAAAAAGTAGTCTTGATTATCCCGGTCTGTTAATCAAACGTAGAATGGTCGGTAGACTGGTTAAGCGAGACTACTTTCAAAACAAGGGCACGTAACCTATTTTTTACTCACATGTGCTCGGATGTTATGGCCGACACTCGGAACCATCTTTCAGTGTGATATTTATGGAATATTAAATGGTCATAGCTTATTAAGTACAACATGACCGTTTATTTAGTGACTATAAATGTTTGAAACTGATTTAAGGCTTGGTGTATATAAAGATATCGTGGTGTAACTGTCGAGATATTTGGAGATATTCATTTATGGTGGGGCACCCTACCAAAGGGATCCAACTCCAAATAGTCAACCTACTCCTACAATCGCTGAAATAGACCAGGGTCCGTAAGGTTTTCTTAAAGTTAGGTAAAGATACTTAATTTTTGCACTTAACCAAGTGTCTTACCTTAAATCGGTATACAAAGGCTCTATTTTACATATACTTGGCTATGTGTAAAACTTAACTGCTTACTTAAAATATGGATTACCAACTTTAGCCAAAAAGCATGAATTTTTATACGCCCACATTTTCATGTGGACGTATATTGTCGTCACCCCTGTCCGTCCGTCCACAATTGTTTGTGGGCACTCTACAGGTCACAATTTTTATCCTATTTCAACGAAACTTGAAATATAGGTTTATCTCCCTACGATCTTGGTTCCTTTCAATATTGGCATGTATCGGATCGTAACTTCATGGATTATGGCCCCTGATTGTATAAAAAAAAACATCGCGTTTTTAACTTGTGGACCCTATAGTGGTCACACTTTTGATCCGATTTTGTTAAAACTTGAAATGTAAGTTTATAACCCAAGGATCTCGGTTCCTGTCGATATTCACGAATATAATAATAATAATAATAATAATAAAAAACTTTATTTAATGAGGCAACGTATTTAGTTTGCAAAAAAACCAAATAAACTAAATCTTCCATAGGTCCCTCCTAAGCTACAAAGACATATATGCATGTAATATCAGGATAAATTTAAAATCATTAGAAATGCAATAGCATTTTAAAGTGGGAAGTTTGATAAGTCACTCCCAAACTCTCAAGCTACAAAACATATACATTATACAAGTAGAATATAGGAAGAACACTAAAATTACACACAAAATAAAATAGAATGCAGTTGCAAGTTAAAAATAATAAGTATGTCATAAGTTGAATATTATGGTTCCTTCAGTGTGCAAAATAAATGAGTTTACGGTTTAATCTTAAAATTTTTAACATTTTTACACATCTTTATTAAATATGGAAAAGGCGACTGTTCCATAAAAGACATGCAGTACGTTTTATGGAGGTCCGTTTTGCATTTTTGAAGAAAAAGAGATTTACTGGTCTGTGAACGGAGCAAGATATCCGTTTTGGAAACAAGAGATTTTTCAATAAAATAGGAATTTAGATAAAGTGGAGTATTAAATGGTTAATCTACCTTTGGTAGCATTTCCCCAAATAATAAAGCAATAATCAAATATTGGTAGTATGTAACTGTTATAAAACAAAATTCCTGTCTCGTAAGGTAAATGATCTTTTATCTTATTTAGGAGAAATATTTTTGATGCAAGTTTCTTTTAGACATATCTGCTATCTGTGCTTCCCAATTAAGTTCTTGGTCAATTTGAATTCCAAGTAATTTTGCTGTAGTAACCGTCTCATTTTTCTCACCATGGAGTGATAAAGTTAGGTTTTCTTATTTCTTTTGTGTTTTGATGAAATCAGCATTGATTTTGTTTTCGAAGGATTGATTACAATCCCATTGTTTTCACACTATTTAAAAACCAAATAGAGATCATTTAGGAGATTTTTGGCGATGGATAAAATATCTTTGTGTGAACAATGTAGGATACTGTCATCAGCAAACAAATCTATCTGACTTGATTCAATATTGAGTGGGAGATCATTTATAAAAAATATGGAATAGGAGAGGTCCCAGGATCGAACCTTGTGGAACCCCGCATTTGACTGTAGTAATTGAGGAGGTAATTGATCCTAAACATACTTTTTGCTTCCGTGAGTCAAGATATGATTCAATCAAAATTTGTGAATTATTATCAAATCGATAAAGATGTAGTTTTTCAATAATAAGCTTGTGATCAATGAGATCAAATGCTTTGCTAAAATCAAGATACACTATACCACTCATCGCACCATTATCGATAGCATCAAGCCAATTATCTGTCATTCGGATCAGTGCAGTAGCACATGAATGATTTGATCTAAATCCAGATTAGTAAGCATAAATAACATTGAAGGTTTCCAAATAAGTTTGAATTTGAGTGCTCAAGTGCCTTTCGAATATTTTTGAAATTGTGGGGAGAATTGAGATTAACCTATAATTGTTAAGATCATCTTTAGCTCCCTTCTTATGTATAGGAATAATTTTAGCCAGTTTAAAGGCACTGGGGAACATGTTTTGAGAAATACAAAGATTAATGATATATGTCAAACTGCTACAAATTGTATACGCAGACAATTTTAAAATTTTGGGTCCAATACCATCACACCCAATGGCTTTGTTACTATTTAAACTCAATAAATGTTTTAATACCTCTGTGGTAGTAATACAATTAATAGAAAAGTTGTTATTTGGGGGATTCTTATCATTTACGTAATCTGATATCTTTCGTTTGCACTCTTGAGAAGGTGGTGTATAGGGGGGCTTAATGTCATCAGTTAAATAAGTGAAGTAATCATTCATCACATTAGCAATAGCATTTAGATCATTAACTGATGTTTTTCCATATTTAATACTATTGGGATAAGGGCAATTATTGGGCTTATTCTGTATGTCACTAAAATATCTCCATATTATGTTTTTAGATTGCTCTCATTTTCGATAGAGTCCTTGATAAAGTTTCTTTTGGCTTTATTAATGAGAATTTTGGTTTTATTTCTCCATATTCTATAGTCGTCACACCTCTTGGAGGCTTTAAAGAAGTTAGTGGCGTATCTGTACTGGCACGTGTCTTTGATGTTGATTTACTGCTGGTGTCTCATTTGGTATGATTTTAATAGTGTCTGTGTTGATATCCTGATTGGTTAGCATTACCGGGTCTGTTTGAGTTGCACTGTCAACGTAACTGATTTTATGGTTGAGGGCCTCTTGAAGTTAAAACACTTGGCTATCAAGATCTCTTATTTTCTCAAACAGACAGTCTAGGTCAGAGTTCGTTACATGTACATTTTGTGATTGATAAGGTGTAGAATAAATTGGAGGAATGAAATCAAGTGAACTATTTTCCACAGGGGTGGTATGATTACATTTCTAGATGTACTATGGCTGTATTCAGAATTAACATCAAATAAATCTACTATATCTTCCTTTGAGGTATTTTCAATACTGTTCACATCTCCTGCGAATTTATCCAGAAGATTTGGAAAAACAGATGTAATCCATGCTATGCAGGCCCCTCCTTGAATATGTACCATATCCGTTGTTGGGTATAGATAAATCTTGAGTTTTTTGCCACCCATTTCAGTAGTTAGAACAAAACCATGATGAGATTTTGGAAAACTGTCTTTCGAATAGTGTAAATGCAACAGTTTTTCCATTATGTTAAAATATGAGTGTTGAATAAATTGTACTGTAACACTGCAACATTTATCTGTGTAGTAACTAAGTGTGAAATACTCATTGTTTTTGACATCAATTGGTGTTGGTTCACAATTTGAACTTTCTTGAGAGGCTTGGTTTTCAAATGAATTTACTTCCATCTTCGTATATTTTAAGTATATTATCGGATCGTAACTTCCAGAATTATGGCCCCTGAATGTATAAAAAAATTGCGTTTTTAGCTTGTGGACCCTATAGAGGTCATAATATTTATCCGGTTTAAAAAAACCGTTTAAGTATATCACCGTTACATCCTAAGGATGATTGACTTCGAATTTCGTGAAAATTGACCTAAACTGACAGACAAAATGGCCGCCACTCGTTCTCAAATAGCGTAAAAATATGGTATATCAAGGTTGTGGACCCTCTAGAGGTCACAATTTTCTTCTGATTTTGATGAAACTTGAAATGTAAGTTTATAACCCAAAGATCTCGGTTCCGTTCGATATCGGACCGTAACTTCCTGAATTATGGTCCCTGATAGTTCGAAAAATCGCGTGTTTAGCTTGTGGACCCTATAGCTGTCATAATTTTTAACTGATTTAAAAAAAAACGCTTTAGTATATCACCTTTACACACTCGTGGGTTTTCTCCGGGGCCTCCGGTTTCCTCCCACTGCTAAAGACCCCTAAGCGAATTATGTAAATAAAATTAAACCATATGTTAGTCCCGAAATAACCTAGTTGGTGTCGAGTGGACGTTAAACCCCATTTCTCTCTCTCTCCTACAGATGTAACAAATGTCCCATCAACTATAGATGTAATAACAGATATACCAACTACGACATCTGCAATAATAGACATACCATCTACAAAAGATGTAACAACGGACATAACCCTTCCTACAGGTATAACAACGGACATACCCCCTATTACATATGTAACGAATGCCACATCTCCTATAGATGTAATAACATATATACCATCTACGACATCTGTAATAATAGACATATCATCTACAATAGATGTAACAACGGACACACCCACTACTACAGGTGTAACAACGGACATACCCCCTATTACAGATGTTCCAGCTACAACAGATGTAATGACAGACATACCATCTACCACAACTGTAATAACAGATATACCATCTACCATAAATGTAACAACAAACACAATATCTACGACAGATGTAACAACGGGCAAACACCCTACTACAGGTTTAACAACCGACATACCTACTACTACAGATGTTCGTTCTACGACAGATGCAGTAACACACATGCCTCTTACTACAGGTGTATCGACGAATATACCTACTACTAGGACAGATGTAATAACAGACATACACCCTGCTACGGATGTAACAACTGACTCGACATCTGCAATAATAGACATGTCATCTACAACATTTTTAACAATGGACATACCCCCTACTATAGGTGCAGTAACGAACATACCCCCTACTACAGGTGCAATAACGAACATACCCCCTTTTACAGATGTTCCAACTGCGATAGATGTAATGACAGACATACCATCTACCACAAAAGTAATAATAGATATACCATCTACCACCAATGTAACAACAAACACAATATTTACAAGAGATGCAATAACAGATGTAACAACAGACATACTCACCACTACAGGCATATCTAGTACTACAGATGTTCCATTTACGACAGATGTAATGACAGACATACCATCTACCACAAAAGTAATAATAGATATACCATCTACCACCAATGTAACAACAAACACAATATTTACAAGAGATGCAATAACAGATGTAACAACAGACATACTCACCACTACAGGCATATCTAGTACTACAGATGTTCCATTTACGACAGATGCAGTAAGACACATACCTCTTACTAAAGGTGTATCAACGAACATACCTACTACTACTACACATGTTCCAGTTACGACAGATGTAATAACAGACACACGCCTTACTAGAGGTGTAACAACTGACACACCTCTTACTACAGATGTAACAAACGTTCGATCTACGATAGATGTAATAACAGACATAACATCTACGACAGATGTAACAACACAGATGCCATCTACGAACATAACAACGGACATATCTCCTACTACAGATGTAACAGACATATCATCTACAACAGATGGAACAGATGCAACAATAGACATACCCACTACTACAGGTGTAACGAGGGACATACCCCCTGTTACAGATGTTCCATCTACGACAGATGTAATGACAGACATACCAGCTACAACAGATATAATAAAGGGCATACCATCTATCAAAAATGTAATAACAGATAAGCCATCTACCACAAATGTAACAAGAAAAACACTATCTACGAGAGATGTAACAACAGACACAACCCTTACTACAGGTTTAACAACCGACATATATACTCCTACAGATGTTCCATCTACGACAGATGTAGTAAGACACATGCCTCGTACAACAGGTGTATCAACGACCATACCTACTACTACAGATGTTCCATTTACGACAAATGTAATAACGGACATATCCCCTACTACAGATTTAACAACGAGCACGCCTACCACTACAGGTGTTCTATTTACGACGGATGTAATAACAGAGATACCCCCTACTACAGGAGTAACAACTGACACACCTCCTACTGCAACAACAGACATACCATCTACGACAGATGTAATAACACACATACCATCTATGAACATAACAATGGGCATATCTCCTATTGCAGATGTAACAAACATTCGATCTACGATAGATGTAATAACAGACATAACATATACGACAAAAGAAACAACACAGATACCATCTACGAACATAACAACGGACATACCATCTACGACAAATGTAATGACAGACATACCATCTACCACAAATGTAGTAATAGATATACCATCTACCACAAATATAACAACAAGCACAATATTTACAACAGATGCAATAACAGATGTAACAACTACAAGTTTAACAACAGGCATACCTAGTACTACAGATGTTACATATACGACAGATATAGTAACTACTACAAATGTTCCAGTTACGACAGATGTAATAACAGAGATACCTCCTACTACAGGTTTAACAACTGACACACCTCCTACTACAGTGGTAACAAACGTTCCATCTACGACAGACGTAACAACAGACATGCCGTCTACGACAGATGTAATAACACACATACCATTTACGAACATAACAACGGACATATCCCCTACTACGGATGCTCCATCTACGACATATGTAGTAAAACACATACCTCGTCCTACAGGTGTATCAATGAACATATCTATTGCTACATACCTTCCAGTTAGGACAGATATAATAACAGACATACCCCCTACTACAGGCGTTACAACTGACACACCTCGTTATACAGATGTAACAAACGTTCCATCTACGATAGATGTAACAAACGTTCCATCTACGATAGATGTAACAACAGACATACCATCTACGACAGGTGTAATAACACAAATACCATCTACGAACATAACAACAGATGTAACAGATGCCTTACCTACTATAGATGTAATAAGAGATATACTATCCACGACATCAGCAATTATAGACACGTCATCTACAACAGATGTAACAACGGACATAGCCCCGACTACAGGTGCAACAACGGACGCACACCCTAGTACAGATGTTCCAACTACGACGGATGTAATGACAGACATACCATCTACCACAAAAGTAATAACAAATATACAATCTACAAGACATGTAACAAAAAACACAATATCTACAACAGATGTAATAACAGATGTAACAACGATCACCACTACAGGTTTAACAACATACATACATACTACTACAGATGTTCCAACTACGACAGATGCAGTAACACACATACCTCTTACTACAGGTGTATCAACGAACATATCTTCTACTACAGTGGTAACAAACGTTCCATCTACGACAGACGTAACAACAGACATGCCGTCTACGACAGATGTAATAACATACATACCACCTACTACCGGTGTAACAACTGACACATCCCCTACTGCAGATGTTCCAGTTACGACAGATGTAATAACAGACATACCCCTTACTAGAGGTGTAACAACTGACACACCCCTTACTACAGATGTAACAAACGTTCGATCTGCGAAAGATGTAATAACAGACATAACATATACGACAGTAGAAACAACACAGATACCATCTACGAACATAACAACGGACATATATCCTACTACAGATGTAGCAGACGCCCTGTCTACTATAGATGTAATAACAGATATACCATCTACGACATCTGCAATAATAGACATATCATCTACAACAGATGCCAAAATGGACATACCCTCTACAGGTGTAACGAGGGACATACCCACTACTACAGGTGTAACGAGGGACATACCCCCTGTTACAGATGTTTCAAATACGACAGATGTAATGACAGACATACCATCTACAACAGATATAATAAAGGGCATACCATCTATCAAAAATGTAATAACAGATATGCCATCTACCACAAATGTAACAACAAAAACACCATCTACGAGAGATGTAACAACAGACACACCCCCTACTACAGGTTTAACAACCGACTTACATACTCCAACAGATGTTCCATCTACGACAGATGTCGTAACACACATACCTCCTACTACAGGTGTATCAACGACCATATCTACTACTACTACTACAGATGTTCCATCTACGACAGATGTCGTAACACACATACCTCCTACTACAGGTGTATCAACGACCATATCTACTACTACTACTACAGATGTTCCATCTACGACAGATGTAGTAAAACACATACCTCTTACTACAGGTGTATCAACGAACATACCTTCTACTACAGATGTTCCAGTTAGGACAGATGTAATAACAGACATACTCCCTACTACAGGTGTAACAACTGACTCACCATCGACGACATCTACAACAAATTTAACAACGGACATACCCAATACTACAGGTGCAATCACAGACATACCCTCTACTACAGGTGCAATAACGGGCATATCCCCTTTTATAGATGTTCCAACTACGACAGATGTAATGACAGACATACCATATACCAGAAATGTACCATCTACGACAAATGTAACAACAAACACAATATCTACAACAGATGTAGCAGCAGATGTAACAACAGACAAACGCACTACTACAGGAATACCAACAGACATACCTACTACTACAGATGTCCCATATACGACAGATGTAGTAACACACATACCTCTTACTGCAGGTGTATCAACGACCATACCTACTACTACTACTACAGATGTTCCATCTATACCTCTTACTACAGGTGAATCAATGAATATACCTACCACTACAGATGTCCCAATTAGGACAGATGCAATAACAGACATACTCCCTACTACAGGTGTAACAACTGACTCACCTCCTATTACAGATGTAACAAACGTTCGATCTACGATAGACACAGCTACAGACATACTATCCACGACAGATGTTATAACACACATACCATCTACGAACATAACAACGGACATACCTCCTACGACAGATGTAATGACAGACATACCATCTACCACAAATGTAGTAATAGACCTACCATCTACCACAAATGTAACAATAAACACAATATTTACAAAAGCTGCAATAACAGATATAACAACAGACATACTCACCACTACAGGTTTAACAACAGGCATACCTAAAACTACAGATGTTACATCTACGACATATGCAGTAACACACATACCTCTTACTACAGGTGTATCAACGAACATACCCCCTACTACAGATGTTCCCGTTACGACAGATGTAATAACAGATAGACCATTTACGACATCTGCAATAATAGACATATCATCTGCAACAGATGCCAAAATGGACATACCCTCTACTACAGGTGTAACGAGGGACATACCCACTACTACAGGTTTAACCAGGGACATGCCTCCTGTTACAGATGTTCCAAATACGACAGATATAATGACAGACGTACCATCTACAACAGATATAATAAAGGGCATACCATCTATCACCAATGTAATAACAAATGTAACAACAAAAACACTATCTGCGAGAGATGTAACAACAACCGACATACATACTCCTACAGATGTAGTAAGACACCTGCCTCATACTACAAGTGTATCAACGAACATACCTACTACTACAGATGTTCCATATACGACAGATGTAATAACATACATATCCCCTACTACAGGTGTAACAACTGACACACCTCCTACTACAGATGTGACAAACGTTCGATCTGCGATAGATGTAATAACAGACATAACATCTACGACAGATGTAATAACACACATACCATCTACGAACATAACAATGGACATATCTCCTATTACAGATGCAACCGATGCCCTATCTACTATAGATGTAATAACAGACATACCATCTACGACATCTGCAATAATAGACATGTCATCTAGAACAGATGCAATAACGGACATACCCCATACTACAGGTGCAACAAGGGACATACACCATATTACAGATGTTCCAACTACGACAGATGTAATGACGGACATGACATCTACAACAGATGTAATAAAGAGCATATCATATACCACAAATGTAATAACAGATATACCATCTACCACAAATGTAACAACAAACACAATATCTACAACAGATGTAATAACAGATGTAACAACAGACATACGCAACACTACAGCTTTAACAACAGACATACCTACTACTACAGATGTCCCATATACGACAGATGTATTAACACACATACTTCCTACTACAGGTGTATCAGCGACCACACCTACTACTACTACAGATATTCCATCTACGACAGATGTAATAACAGATATACCCCTTACTAGAGGTGTAACAACTGACACACCTCTTACTACAGATGTAACAAACATTCGATCTACGATAGATGTAATAACAGACATAACATATACGACAACACAGATACCATCTACGAACATAAAAACGGACCTACCTCCTACGACAGATGTAATGACAGACATACCATCTACCACAAATGTAAAAATAGATATACCATCTACCACAAATGTAACAAACACAATATTTACAACAGATGTAACAACAGACATACTCCCCACTACAGGTTTAGCAACCGATGTACATACTACTACTGATGTTCCATCACACATGCCTCGTACTACAGGTGTATCAACGCATATACCTACTACTACAGATGTTCCATTTACGACAGATGTAATAACATACATATCCCCTACTACAGGTGTATCAACGAACATACATGCTACTACATACGTTCAAGTTACGACAGGTGTAATGGGAGACATACCCCCTTCTACAGGTGTTACAACTGACACACCCCTTACTACAGATGTAACAAACGTCCCATCTACGATAGATATAACAACAGACATACCATCTACGACATACGTAATAACACAGATATCATCTACGAACATAACGGACATATCTCCTAATACAGATGTAACAGATGCCCTATCTACTATAGATGTAATAACAGATTTACCATCTACGACATCTGCAATAATAGACATGTCATCTACAACAGATGCAACAGCGGACATGTCCCCTACTACAGGTGCAACAACGGACATCCCCCCTATTACAGATGTTCCAACTACGACAGATGTAATGACAATCATACCATCAACCACAAATATAATAACAGATATACCATCGACCACCAATGAAACAACAAGCATAATATCTACAACAGATGTAATAACAGATGTAACAACAGACATGCGCAGCACTACAAGTTTAAAAACCGACATACCTACTACTACAGATGTTCCATCTACGACAGATGCAGTAACACACATACCGCCTACTACTACTACTACTATTACTACAGTTATTCCATCTACGACAGATGTAATAACATACATACGCCCTACAACGGACATATTTCCTACATCAGATGTAATAGATGCCCCTTCTACTATAGATGTAATAACAGATACACCACCTACATCTGCAATAATAGACATATCATCTACAACAGATGTAACAAGCTACATACCTCCTATCACAGATGTTCCAACAACGACAGATGTAATGACAGACATATCATCTACAACAGATTTAACAACGACAGATGTAATGACAGACATATCATCTACAACAGATGTAATAAAGGGCATACCATCTATCACAAATGTATCAACAAATACACTATCTACGACAGATGTAATAACACACATACTCCCTACTACAGGCGTAACAACTGACACATCCCCTACTACAGATGTAACAAACGTTCCATCTACGATAGATGTAATAACAGACAGTATATCTAGGACTGATGTAAGAACAGACATACGATCTACTACAGATGTACCAATTCTGAAACCATCTACCACACATGTAACAATAGAAATGGTATCTACCAACGCTGTAGTAACAGATATACCCTCTAGCAGAGATGTAACAACAAATATACCATCTATGAAAGAAGTAGCAACGGACATATCATCCAAAACAAATGTAATAACACGCACATCTTCTACCACAGATGTAATAACATACATAACATCTGCGGCAGATGTAACAACAGGTATACCCTCTACGACAAACGTAATAGTAGGCATACCCTCTACGGCGAGCGCAATAACAGAAATATCATCCACAACAGATGTAACTACTGATATACCAGCTACGACTGGTGCGACAACGGATATACCGCCTATTACAAATGTAACAGATGTACCATCTAAGATAGTTGTAATAACAGGCATACTACCAACCTCCGAAGAAACAACATATATACCAGCTACGCCAGATGTAACAACAGACATACCATCAACGATGGATGTAACAACAGACATACCGTCTAGGAAAGATGTAACAACAGACATGTTTCATACAACAGATGTAATAACCAAGCCACCATTTACCACAGATGTAATAACAAATATGCCATCTACGACAGATGTAATAAGAGATACTGGTGTTACAACAAAAATACCATCCGAATCAGTAGGAACAGAAATACTAACTGCAATGGTATCGTATGTAACAGAAGAAAAGGCAATGGCGACTAGTGAATATGTTAGTTCGGAATTACCGACTTTAACAGTTAAAGGTGTAACAAAAGAACTATCTTCTACAGCACATTCCACAGAACATCTATCAACAGTTGCACCAAAAATCATCGGGGATCTAGTAACACAATTGTCATCTAAAACTTCTACGGGTGTGACAACAAAATTCCCATCTACTATAACTTATGTTAGCGATACGACTGTCAGTTCTGGTAAGTATTTAGATACTTGAATCTTTTACATCTAGCCTATAGTTTGTGGTTCGTTATTCACCAGAAATTAGTATTATAATAAAGGTGCTTTTATAGGGAATATAACCTAATTGGGTTATAACATCTTTCTACCTGAATACAGATCTGTTCCATATTGGTGAATAACGAACCACCAAACAGGTTGTAGTTCGTTATTCGGGAATATTTTTTAATAACAAAATTTTTGAGACATAATAAAAAAGGCCTATAATAGGTCTGCTAATGGACAATAGTAATTTGTATATTATTAGGCCTACATCTAAATGTCTTTATTGATAATACAACAATGGTTATAACTTTTATTTATTATAAACAGACATCGATTGACAATTATGTAATGTATATATATTTTTTAAATCATGTGCAAATTATTGTACTTTACATAACCATTAATTTAGAGTAATCTCTTAAGAAAAAGAAACCCGAGCTGGATTCCGTCTTTAAAACTGATTTTTATCAACCTATATAAGTCGATTGATTTAATTGTATTGAAGCGTTATAAGCCAAGTAGACCCGTAAAAAGTATTCCCTACAAAAAGCACGTTTATTATATTACTGATTCTATATCTGCTGAAATGCGAACCACAGACTAGTTCGTGGTTCGTTATTTGCCTATAACGAACCACAAACTAGCCTGTTGTCCGTTATTCCCAATAAGGAACGGCTCTTTATAACCCAATATTAGATACATAAAACCAACATCAAGCGTATTCCCAATGAAAGTGCCTGTATTATATAACTAGTCTGTTGTCCGTTATTCACCAACAAGGAACGGCTCGTTTTTCCCCAATTAGGCTCATAAAACCGACAATAAAAGTGCCTGGTTCGTTATTAAGATAGAAAGACACCATGCTAGATTCTATTTCGCAAGATTTTAAAGCGTTAAAACCCAATTAGGCTCATGAAGAAAATTATTATAGTATTAATTCTGTATCTGGTGAATAATGAACCAGAACTAGTTTGTGGTTCGTTATTGACATGACATAGAATCTGTAGATTATTACAATTTAAGTTGTAAATTTGAACCAACATTGAAACTGAAAAAATTGGCAATGTTGGTGTCGAATACCTGTACATGTACGGCCTCCTAAAATATTATAGTACTAATTCTGTATCTGGTGAATAATGAACCACAAACTGTTCGTTGTTCGTTATTCGCCAATAACGAACTACAAACTAGTTCGTGGTTCGTTATCATCCAATAACAAACAGCTCGTTATAACTTGTAAGAACCTATCCCCCAAGACTTTGAAGTGATATAACCTAAACCAGCTTATTAAAACCTACGCCCGATGTATTCCATATAAAAGCGCCTATATTATATTGCTAATTCTATATCTGTTGAATAACGAACTACAAACTAATTCGTGGTTCATTATTCGGCAATGACGAGCTACAAACTTGTTCGTCAATAATGAACCACAAGTTTATTCCACAACGCCTAATAAATCTGGTTATGAAATAATTTTGTTTTTACAGGTGCTGTTTTATGTGTAACATTATCACTACAGAAAGACTATGATGTTAAATATAGTGATAAAACATCTACAGAATATATATCATTAAAGACAAGTTTAGAGATAGGGGTAAGAAATATGTTATATGTGGTCGTTCATCTTTTTATATAAACCCAGGCTAATCAATATCAAATGTACTCATATTAGAACATAATGTCTATAGCTACGTAAATAGTATATTTAATATTTCCAGATGAAGAGCGTCCTAAGTAGTTCCAGTATATTGTCTATTGCTGTTACTGATATAAGGTATGTGACAAGATCCCCGGTTTGGGTGTTTCCGGAAATAAATAAAATTTTGATTTTTATTCGTTTGGTTTTGTTTTGGTTGGACTACACCAGTCGATTATACATAATTATTAGAATAAAATTATTCAAGTCAACCATGTCAAAGTTTTCAAGATTTATAAAAATACACCTGAATTAACACTATCTAGGTTAATGCTTGTATATTGGTAGTATTATAGTAGACAGTGAATTAACGATACATTATGTAAGAATTAAATCTGTATGCAAGTCTCTCTTTTGGCCTCAGATGTTATATAAATTATCCACATAACAAGTCCACAATACACTCTCTAGACCATAGGATTGTCGCGATTTTCAATGGATTAAAACACGGTCGCCATTTAATAAATTAAATTGAAAAAGATAGTTGATATTATTTTTGCCGTAACCATTGCACCTGTCAATCTAGACCATACCAGAAACGAGAAATTTGAAGACATGGTAATACGCTATGAATTAACATTATCAACATTAATGTTTGTATATTTGTAGATCCGGTAGTATTATAGTAGACTATGAACTAACACTATCAACATTGTATATTTGTAGACCTGGTAGTATTATAGTAGATTATGATCTCACATTATCAACAGATCCTGTTATAAAAGATTGTAAACGAGAAAGTATCTGTCAATCAGTAGCTAAGAAACTAGTTACTATAGAGAATACCAATTGTTTTCCACTGGATAATATTTGTACACAAATATTTGCTCCAATACGCGTCTTTTATGGTGAAAAAACTGATAATTCTACTGAAGGTAAAGCACCACTTCAACTGTAAATACTGTTATTTTGGTAAAATATTACCCTTTATAAGATCTCCACTGGGTTAGTTGACTGCAAAAAGTGAACAGAGGGTGTGTAATCGATGTAACCCTCTCATGACCCAAATTCTTCCAACCAAATTGATCAAAATCAGCAATCTGTTCACAGAGGTAATATACTATTCAAAAAAAGTAGGGGATATTTGATTTTGGGGGCATAATACTAAAATATGCAAATGACTACGATAAAAGTCACTATAGAACCTAACAGAAGAAACATTTCCAGTTACATGTAACGCCCAAACGCACCAATAGCTACCGCATGGAATGCAGGTGATGCTTGGGATCATCATGGGGGTCCAACCCAAGATTTGCACGACTCTGACTTTGAATGTTACAGTCATAGTGGCATTGAATTCCAGGGTGGAAACATCAGTTTAATTGTTTTAGTGACCAGAAAACAAATTTTGATATGCGTCGGCTTACCCAAAATGAAAGGTTACGTGCCCTTGGCATGCTACAGATCGGCACAACACAGGCGGTTGTGGCGCGGACGATGAATGTTTCTCAGTCTGTCATAAGCAGGCTATGGTCCAGATACCGTGATACACAATCTGTACAGGACAGACCACGCTCAGGTCGACCAAGGGCGACAACTCAAGCCCAGGATCGATTTATCCGTACCTTGGCCTTGAGAAATCGTGTCATCACAGCAAATCAGATCAGCGCTCGTCTTCAAACAGACACTGGTGTGAGAGTGAGTGGCCAGACGATTCGGAATCGACTGCATAGGGGTCACCTTCGCGCCCGACGTCCTCGCGTGATCCCTTGTTTGAGAGATCATCACATTCAGGCAAGACGTCGTTGGTGTAGGGATCGTCAACACTGGGATAATCGACGCTGGAGCAATGTGATGTTTTCAGATGAGTCAAGGTTCACTGTTGATTTTTTGGACAGACGTAGGAGGGTGTGGCGTCGTCGAAACGAGCGCTTCCAAGACGTTAACGTCATCAGACATGATCGATTTGGGGGTGGTTCTGTTATGGTGTGGGGAGGCATCACTGTTGCTGGAAGAACGGCTTTACATGTTGTTGCAGGGCGTGTTACAGGCCAGTACTACCGGGACAACATCTTGGCAGTCCATGTTGTGCCGTTCGCACGACGTCATGGCCGCCGTTTCATCTTCCAGGATGACAACGCAAGATGTCACAGGGCCAGGATCGTTACAGGTTACCTCCAACAACAGAACATCACCACATTACCTTGGCCAGCACTGAGTCCCGACCTCTCCCCCATCGAGCATGTCTGGGACATGCTTGGACAGAGGTTACGTCAACGTCAACAACGTCCTGCCAATGTCCAAGAACTTGCTGCTGCGTTGCAACAGGAATGGGACAATCTGGACCAAAATGACCTTAGACGTCTCATTAGGAGTATGCCACGTCGGATCAATGCTTGTTTGGCAAACAGAGGAGGATTTACCCGTTACTGACTTGGTTGTGATGCTGTGGTAACTTTGCTGTTTGACCCCGGGTATCATTTTACCCTTATAATGGTCAGTCTGTGCCTTACTTAGTCTAACGATCATTTGGAATAAATCGATGAATGTGAACTTCATTTCATTTTGTCATTTGTTTCTTCGTCAGTTTCATTAGGTGACTTTAATAACACTTAAAAATCAAATATCCCCTACTTTTTTTGAATAGTATACTATAGTCTTCTAACTATGTAAGATGATTGGCCTTATTATGTTCAAATGGAGCCACAGTGGCTAAGTATATAGCCTGGATGTCGTTCCGATCGCGGGTTCGCTTCCGGTATTGGCCGAGAAAGTACATCGAAATTTTCCGACGTGGATTCCCCTTGTTAGTGGTGCAGCCCAGTCAGAGCAGAACAGAAGGACATTAAACCCCATACTTCGATGATTAGTATCGATAGTGCATGCAGTGTTTACATAAGACGTAGTAACGTAAACTTGTCCAGGCAGAATGGTGTCCTTTACTCAAATTACGCCCTCGCCAATCTGATAAAAAAAACAGAACCTATTTCGTTTCGTTTTTTATAGTTCAAAATTCCGTTTTACTTGTCTTTACTACCCTAGGATCTGGAAGAGTTCTGGTTGAAGTGAGGGATTGGCCAATGATTTGAATGAACCGGTCTGCTACGGCGAGTTATTGGCGTGCGATCCACGGAGTTTGTGTGTAAGGCACCAGAAACGTCAAGGCTGATTAATTAATCAATGTCTGACGTCATAGGGTCAAAAGTCGCTCGTACGACCCCTGACGCTACCTTCCAGTAGAACCGGTATGATCTTCATTTAGTGTCGGCCATTGAAAGTATAAAAAACGAAACGAAATATAGATCTGTATTGTAATCAGATTGCGCCTTCGCGTACTTTTTTATGTGCCCATTTAAACTAAATAGGAAATATTTGTTATCCAGATATATTTCAAACATCGTTATTTATTTTTCTAATGCTTCAAAAACAATGTTTTACTGTCAGAATCGTCGATAATTTTAAACGGATTTTTTTCGATTGTGAACAAAATATATACTATTCAAAAAAAGTAGGGGATATTTGATTTTTAAGTGTTATTAAAGTCACCTAATGAAACTGACGAAGAAACAAATGACAAAATGAAATGAAGTTCACATTCATCGATTTATTCCAAATGATCGTTAGACTAAGTAAGGCACAGACTGACCATTATAAGGGTAAAATGATACCCGGGGTCAAACAGCAAAGTTACCACAGCATCACAACCAAGTCAGTAACGGGTAAATCCTCCTCTGTTTGCCAAACAAGCATTGATCCGACGTGGCATACTCCTAATGAGACGTCTAAGGTCATTTTGGTCCAGATTGTCCCATTCCTGTTGCAACGCAGCAGCAAATTTTGGACATTGGCAGGACGTTGTTGACGTTGACGTAACCTCTGTCCAAGCATGTCCCAGACATGCTCGATGGGGGAGAGGTCGGGACTCAGTGCTGGCCAAGGTGATGTTCTGTTGTTGGAGGTAACCTGTAACGATCCTGGCCCTGTGACATCTTGCGTTGTCATCCTGGAAGATGAAACAGCGGCCATGACGTCGTGCGAACGGCACAACATGGACTGCCAAGATGTTGTCCCGGTAGTACTGGCCTGTAACACGCCCTGCAACAACATGTAAAACCGTTCTTCCAGCAACAGTGATGCCTCCCCACACCATAACAGAACCACCCCCAAATCGATCATGTCTGATGACGTTAACGTCTTGGAAGCGCTCGTTTCGACGACGCCACACCCTCCTACGTCTGTCCAAAAAATCAACAGTGAACCTTGACTCATCTGAAAACATCACATTGCTCCAGCGTCGATTATCCCAGTGTTGACGATCCCTACACCAACGTGGTCTGTCCTGAATGTGATGATCTCTCAAACAAGGGATCACGCGAGGACGTCGGGCGCGAAGGTGACCCCTATGCAGTCGATTCCCAATCGTCACACCAGCGTCTGTTTGAAGACGAGCGCTGATCTGATTTGCTGTGATGACACGATTTCTCAAGGCCAAGGTACGGATAAATCGATCATGGGCTTGAGTTGTCGCCCTTGGTCGACCTGAGCGTGGTCTGTCCTGTACAGATTGTGTATCACGGTATCTGGACCATAGCCTGCTTATGACAGACTGAGAAACATTCATCGTCCGCGCCACAACCGCCTGTGTTGTGCCGATCTGTAGCATGCCAAGGGCACGTAACCTTTCATTTTGGGTAAGCCGACGCATATCAAAATTTGTTTTCTGGTCACTAAAACAATTAAACTGATGTTTCCACCCTGGAATTCAATGCCACAATGACTGTAACATTCAAAGTCAGAGTCGTGCAAATCTTGGGTTGGACCCCCATGATGATCCCAAGCATCACCTGCATTCCATGCGGTAGCTATTGGTGCGTTTGGGCGTCACATGTAACTGGAAATGTTTCTTCTGTTAGGTTCTATAGTGACTTTTTTCGTAGTCATTTGCATATTTTAGTATTATGCCCCCAAAATCAAATATCCCCTACTTTTTTTGAATAGTATATTAATAATGGTTATCAAAAGCTGCCTATGTGTTTGAAAGCACCTCTGGTTAAAAAAATCCATCTTACATTTTAAAATACCAACGAATAAAAAAAGTTATCTCTTCAAAATTCAATGCTTTTGCTTGTATTTTCGTCAGGGTAAATTAGGCAATGATCAGTTTCTACATATGAAATAATCTCGGATCAGACCTGGGTTTCTAGATAAGAGGAAATGTCAGTCTCTCCTAACAAAATTCTGTAACGTCAATACAATTATTGATTCTTATAATAACATGCGATATACTCCCCACCTGGAAAGGGGTAAATATAACGGGAGATATATAGTGGGGGTGATGAGCATGGCGTGGAGTTTGCTTTTGTGTGTGTGGGTGGGGAGTGGGTGGTCCGCTCCGTCACTGCAGCTTTGCATGGGCTGTAAAAACGAACAAATGAATAACTTTATTCTGCGAGTTTATCATTAGATAGTGCACAAAATTATACAGCTTAAAACATCTTATCTCGAGCGCTCGACTTAATTATCTCGAGCGCTCGACTTAACTACCTCGAGCGCTCGACTTGTATCTCGAGCGCTCGACTTAGTATCTCGAGCTCTCGAGATATTATTTTTCTTTGCGTGTCCTAAATCAGACACCGTACTTCCAAAATATTTTCATATTTAATTCATGTTCCGGCTGTAAGTTCATCTCAATAGTATTCCCGAATAAAATACATTTTTGATTATCCAACAGATACTAAAGTGGAAACATTCTTGAAAAAAATAGCGCTGGGTGACTAAACATCGGTAATGTATTTTAATAAAAATCACTCGTCAAAAGAGGCACTGCAGTCTGTGCGTATTATCAGGTCTTGCTTGTTAATTATTCAAACCGTGGGAAAAGCTCTTGCAAGTTTCGCCCCAAATTTAACCATTTGCACTACATCTGTGTAGTATACGATGCCTCATATGGCATGGGACCTTATACGGTAATATTAGTCCCGAAATTACCTAGTTTGTGTCGAGTGGACGTTAAACCCCATTTCTCTCTCTCTCTATACGATAATATAATTCAAAATGGGGTCGTAGTAGTGATTAATAGTTAGTAATTGCAAGTTCAATCGTTTTGCATCAAAATGCGGTCTAGGATAAAGTCCAGGATGACATTTAAACCCATTGCTAAGATGTTTCAGTGGGGCGCGACTGCGTAAATGAAGGACGGTAAACCCCATTTTATTTCATTTCATTTCATTTCCTAAAATACAGCTTATAATCTTCTGTGGAATATTGTTTTACAAGATGTCAAAAGTTGATATATGGTGTGTTGCGTCGTGGACGCCCATTTCCCGGGAACCTATCTAAAAGGAGATATATCTCGTCATGTTACTCGGTTTCAAATTCTTGCATACTTCATTTGAAACTGGGGGGGTTGGATAGCCGAATGGTTAGCACGCGCGCGCTGTATCATAAGGCCTGTACGTGACAAGGAGTAGGGTCGCCTGTCCAACCTCGTGGGGTTTCTCCGGGTCCTCCGGTTTTCTCCCACTGCTAAAGACCCCTACGCACAAGCGAATTATTGAAATAAAATTAAACCATATGTTAGTCCCGAAATGACCTAGTTTCTCTCTCTCTCTCTCTCTCTCTCTCTCTCTCTCATTTGAAACTTATATTTTAGAGAAAGTGGCCCAGTGTATAACCTGTAGTGGTGAGTGCATGCTGGTTGGAACTCGGTATGAATGTAGGTAAGTGTAAACTTTACCAGTCAATTAATTTTTTAATGGTATTTTTATACGGCCACATTTTCATGTGGACGTATATTGTCGTCGCCCCTGTCTGTCCGTCCGTCCGCCCACAATTTGTGGACACTCTAGGTCACAATTTTTATCTGATTTTGACGAAAATTGAAATATAGGTTTATCCCCGCAACATCTCGGTTCCTTTGGATATTAGCATGTATCGGACCGTAACATCATGGATTTTGGCCCCTGTTTGTACGAAAAATCACGTTTTTTTTAGCTTGTTCTCTATCCATCCCTTGCAAAATCTGGGCGTATCTTGCATGGTAACCGCAGGGTTTTCTTTAATCTTTGCGGATTTGTCAAAAAGAAGACCAATCTAAAGACGTACGTAACTAACGTACGAAAATTAATTGGTGGCTAGCTTTTTTTTTCGCACGTATACAGTGAATGGCCATTTTGCTCAGTAATCGCACCCAGAATTTGGCTTTTTTCTAAATTTGCGTTTAAGTTTAAAATATTTGTTTTAGAACTGAAATAAATTAACTATTAGTCAATCCCAACGCTAATAACGTCAACAGAATTGATTGTGTGTATCTGAAATAGACATGACCGACGCACAAAATAGTGTCAGCTTCTATGAACAACCATTTGCAGACGCTGTCATTGAAGACGACGTCAATTCTATGAGTTGTAGTGTTATTTTTGTGAAAAATCATTGGAAGAAGAGAGAACATGTTGGGACTGGACGAATTATATAGTCTTTATGGGTGCAAAGGAAACAATGCTGAAGATAAACCTATTTTTTACAATGTAACGTGTTGTTGACCCCATGACCCATTGACGTTAATGTCATGACCTGTGATGTGTAGATTACGTGATATGGATATCATGGCTATTGACTGTGTCTGAGATACTTCTCCGCAGGTAGCGTGTCTCAGATGTTCAGAATGATCTAAATATTGTGGGGGTGAATTTGATAAAATCTTATGTTTCACAGAAAATGATATCATATTTGAAAGGTGTTTATACAGATTTGTCGTGTAATATTCATTTTAATTTTACTTTATAGGTCAACATCAATATCGTGTAAGTATTGTTTGCCTATTTGTATTAGGCTAACATGACAAGTCAGATAATTGTTTTACGGAGTTCCTCTTGATGTCGCAGGATTTACGTTGATAATGTCGAAGGTAAACGGAACTACGCCATGGTAGAAATGTCGCTGTCTTTTCATTTCTCCAAATTCTATTACGTGTGTTGTAGATGCGACGGTCTAATACTTACTACTGTTATAAAGATTGATGCTTATTTTTGATATAGATTTGATTAAAAAAAACTGTGCACGTCCGATAATTCGGTGTATGGTATTTTGGATAACACAAATTGTCACAAACATGATATTTGTGGATAACACAAATTGTCACAAACATGATATTTGTGACTCAAACGACTAATCTAGACTGTAAATTATTGGCGAATTTTAAAAGTATTTAACATGTTTGAAACTAATACACCAATGACAAAAAAACCAAAGAACAATGTAGGTCTTCATGGTATGGGAGGCCATTATCTGAGGGTAGCCATTTTCGATAATATTCCAACTTATTTTTTTCATATTTACCCTATTTATAATGTTATCGACATGTCAACTGTATTAGTATTCACAGGTGTCATGACTATATTTCAAATTTTTTCCCATCACTTCATGAAGATATTTCCATGATGGCGGGTATTTTTAGTCGGGAAATGGGACGATGTGAAGATTTTGTTTAAGAGTAGTGTTTGGTGTCAATATATATGTTTTCGGGGTCGCAGATTCCATTTCTGACATTTACAAACTTTTAAAATGATCACATGTTAACATAATTAGCATATTTCCAAGATGGTTGCCATAGTGTCAATGTATATATGTTTTCGGTGGCGCAGATTTGATTTCTGCCATATACAACTGCGTAAATTGATCAGAACGGCAGAACGTTTTCTAAAAGTATTATTGTCATAGATTTACTTGTCGTTGTTATTTACACGTTTCTGTGTCCAATTCTGCTACGTAGGCTATTAGCTTGTAGCCCATTCCTGAAAGCCGGTACCGTGTCGGACCAATTTGGTATATTATCCAACGATGAAAATTACTGATTCGAGATGACGACTGAGCTGATATCGATTTTCCTAGGAAAGAAAAGGCTATTCACTTGGTCTCCTGGCATGAAGAGAGCGTAACGGCAGCGTGGGGCTTGCGCCAACCGCTTTCTACGCCCAGCGCGGTCAAGGTCTTAATACGCCTTTGGCCAAGCTCTGGCTTCGCGCACCGTGTTCCCACCATTCTCTCGCGGTTAGCAGTCAGACTGGGGTACGTTCTCACCACACTCCCGTGGCGTGCCTACCAGGCGTAAGCTGCCTTTTCGCCGCGCCATGCTTACTCCGCCCTCATTCACTTTCAAAGCAGAGAACAACCAAACGTCAAGCAATCAAGAACATTTTTTAGTTTCTTGATGTTTCCTGTTAGGATGCTAGACTGGAACTGGTGGACGAGGTTCAGTACCTTCCATATATATACAAAAAGGCCGTAACAGCGTAGCAAGCATGTGGCGAGCTTCGTTCCACTGTTCCAGCCTGGCCGCAACGTGGTTGAAGCTGATGGGGACGCGGCTGTAAATGAAATACTTGTTAAGAAGCCCTCATGACATAGATTATGTTATCAACTGAGTTCCAAGCTGAATGTGGAACGAGCATGTGGATGCTGTTGCGTTGGAAACATAAAGAAAATATCACCACTTACACAACTAGTGGCCGGCTATTTTACATCACTGCCCCCAGTTCTTTCAATGGTGATGGCAGTGATGTCGTCGTTTAATTGGTGATATAGTTTGTTAACAACAGCATTCGTTTGAACGACTCCTTCCATACGCAGCTTTATGTCAGTTGATAAAATAATCTATGCCACGAACTTTTTTATAGCAAGTGTTATTATATCATTCGCAGTTCTTGTTTTTATTTCTTTGAATACCGCTTTATATTTAATATCATACATTTCTGTTCTACCTTTTAATTTATTAATTGCTTTTCCAAAAGTTGTAAGTCTCACATTTTTAACCATCGATAATTTTGTATCTATATATAACCGACAGACAACATAAATTGAAAGTCTCGATGGCGCCACCAAGTCATGTCTGGGACATGATCGGGAGACGTGTTCGTCAACATCAACCGACAACACTGCAAGAATTGGCCGTGGCACGGCAAGAGGAGTGGGTCAGATTGCCCCAAATCTTGATTGCTCGGTTGATTAGGAGTATGCCACGACGAATTGCTGAATGTCTGAGGATTGGTGGAGCAATTACTCATTATTAAGACAAAAAACGTCCATTTTCACTTTTGACAGTGTAATTCTTTGCGATAGAAATGAGGCCGTAAGATAAGCCGCCCATATGAACTGTTTATGTTCATGTCTAAAAACAAAATCAAACGTGGTGCGACTTTTATTATTGATGAATGATGTTTATTTGTGTTTTTTTTAATCTGCCCTTAATAATCTCCGTTTGTCGTATTTTGTCTGGCCATTGCATATTTACTCGAGTGTTTTGAAAAGTAGACTTTGACCGATGTTATTAAACTTCAATGAAAACTCTTTCTAAGTTGTTATGAGTCAGTGTTGTTTTAGTTGTTGGTTAAGTCATGTTCAGTCTAATTACCGAGGTTTACACACTTGGTCATTCACTAGATTAACAAATAATATATCTCAGTACAATAGGAAATATATTTGCGTGCGTAGTGCGTAATGGAAAACAAAATAAATAGTATTATGTTTCCAATTCTTATAGGTTCTATAATAACATGTTTTTCAGCAAGTAGTGGAACAGAATCATCCACGATAGATGTAACAACTAAGATTGCGCCCACATCCGTCACTGATGTAACAACAATATTGCCACCTACAACTGTTACAAATACAACAAGAGCAATTTTACCTACAATACATGTACCCACTACTACAACTACGACAGATGTAATAACACATATGCCACCAACTGCAGATGTAACAACACCCAAACCATCTACCACAGATGTAATAACAGAAATACAATCTACCACAGATGTAACAACAGACATAAAATCTACCACAAACCTAACAGTAAAAATATCATCTACCACAAATTTAACAACGGACACAGCTCCTACGATAGGTGTTAAAACAGACAAGACATCTGTAATAACAGACACACCATCTACAGCAGATGTAATGACCGATATACCATCTACCGCAGATATAACAACACACAAATCATCTACTACAGATGGAATAACAGAAATACAACCTACCACAGATGTAACAACAGACATAAAATTTAGCACAAATGTAACAGTAAAAATATCATCTACCAAAAATGTAACAACGGACATAGCTCCTACGTTAGGTGTACAAAAAGAAATACCATCTACAGCAGATGTAATAACAGATATACCATCTACCGCAGATGTAACAACACACAAACCATCTACCAAACATGTAATAACAGATATACTGTCTACAACATATATACCATCTATCACAGATGTAATAACAGTCATACCATCTACCAATGATGTAATAACACATATGCCATCTACCACAAATGTAACAACAGATATACTATCTACAAAAGATGTAATAACGAATATACTATCTACAAAATATGTAATAAATGAAATATCCCCCACAACAGATATATCCTCTAATACTAGTTTAACAACCGATATGTCAGATGTAATAACAAATATACCATCTCCTTCAGAATTAGTAACATATATACGATCACCCACAACCGATGTAACAACGGACATAAATCCAGCAACTGCGACAAATGTAATAACACACATACCATTAACAGGTGTACCAACTACAAGTGTAAAAACCAACATCCCTACTACTGCAGGTGTAACAACGGACATATCTTCTAATACTGATGTAACAACGGACACATCTCCTACTACAGATCTAACAAACGTTCCATATACGATATATGTAACAACAGACATACCATCAACGACAGATGTAATAACAGATATACCATCAACGACAGATTTAATAACAGATATATCATCAACGACAGATGTAATAACAGATATACCAATTACAACAGCTGTAACAACGGACATAACTTCTACTACACTTGTAACAACAGATATGCCTCCAACTACAGATATAACGGACGTTCCATCTGCCCTACATGCAATAAGAGACATAACATCTACAACAGGTGTAGTAACAGATATACCATTTACCACAGCTTTTGTAACAGATATACCGTCGACCACAGATGTAACAAAACATATACCATCTACCAGAAATGTTACAACAGATATACTATCTACAAAAGATTTAACAACGGACATATCTCCTACTACAAACGTAACAGGTGTTCCATCTACGATAGATGTAATAAAAGCCATACCATCTACGACATTTGTAATAACAGATATACAATCTACAACAGATGTAATAACAGATATACCATCTACGACAGATGTCATAACAGTTAAACCATCTATCAGAAAATACGTAACATCAAATATTCCATCTACGACGGATGTAATAACAGAAATATCACAAACAGATGTAACAATGGACATACACCTTACTACAGGTGTAAGAACCAACATTCCTACTACTACAGGTCTTCCAACTACGATATTGGCACCTACATCTGTTACAAATGAAACAGGAGCAATTGGACCTACGATACATGTACCCACTACTACAGATGTTCCAACTGTGACAGATGTAATAACACACATGCCTAAAACTACAGATGTAACAACACCGAAACCATCTACCACAGATGTAATAACACAAATACAATCTACCACAGATGTAACAACAGACATAAAATCTACCTCAAAGGTAACAGTAAAAATACCATCTACCACAAATGTAACAACGGGCATAGCTCCTACGGTAGGTGTACAAACAGACAGGGCGACTACGACATCTGTAATAACAGACATACCATCTACAGCAGATATAATAACAGATATATCATCTATCGCAGATTTAACAACACAGAAACAATCTACTACAAATGTAATAACACAAACACAATCTACCACAGATGTAACAACAGACATAAAATCTACAACATATGTAACAGTAAAAATACCATCTACCACAAATGTAACAACGGACATAGCTCCTACGATAGGTGTACAAACAGACAGGCCATCTACATCTGTAATAACAGACATACCATCTACCGCAGATATAACAACACACAAATCATCTACTACAGATGGAATAACAGAAATAGAATCTACCACAGATGTAACAACAGACATACAACTTAGCACAAATGTAACAGTAACAATATCATCTACCAAAAATGTAACAACGGACATAGCTCCTACGATAGGTGTACAAAAAGAAATACCATCTACAGCAGATGTAATAACAGATAAACAATCTATCACAAAATATGTAACATCAAATATACCATCTACGACGGATGTAATAACAGTAATATCACAAACAACAGATGTAGCAATGGACATACACCCTACTACAGGTGTAAGAACCAACATTCCTACTACTACAGGTCTTCCAACTACGATATTGGCACCTACATCTGTTACAAATGCAAAAAGAGCAATTGGACCTACGATACATGTACCTACTACTACAGATGTTCCAACTGTGACAGATGTAATAACACACATGTCTCAAACTACAGATGTAACAACACCGAAACCATCTACCACAGATGTAATAGCACAAATACAATCTACCACAGATGTAACAACAGACATAAAATCTACCTCAAATGTAACAGTAAAAATACCATCTACCACAAATGTAACAACGGGCATAGCTCCTACGATAGGTGTACAAACAGACAGGCCATCTACGACATCTGTAATAACAGACATACCATCTACAGCAGATATAATAACAGATATACCATCTATCGCAGATTTAACAACACAGAAACCATCTACTACAGATGTGATAACAGATATACCGTCTACAACATATATACCATCTATCACAGATGTAATAACAGTCATACCATTTACTAATGATGTAGTAACATATATGCCATCTATCACAAATGTAACAACAAATATACTATCTACAAAAGATGTAACAACAAATATACTATCTACAAAAGATGAAACAACAAATATACTATCTACAAAAGATGTAACAAAAAATATACTATCTACAAAAGACGTAACAACAAATATACTATCTACAAAAGATGTAATAACTGAAATATCCCCCACAACAGATATATCCTCTAATACGAGTTCAACAACCACAGATGTAATAACAGATATACCATCTCCGGCAGAGTTAGTAACAGATATACGATCACCCACAACCGATGTAACAACGGACATAACCCCTACAACTGCGACAGATAAAATAACACAACCGCCATCAACAGGTCTACCAACTACAGGTGTGAGAACCAACATTCCTACTACTGCAGGTGTAACAACGGACACATCTCCTACTACAGATCTAACAAACGTTCCCTCTACGATATATGTAATAACAGACATACAATCTACAACAGATGTAATAACAGATATACCATCTACGACAGATGTAATAACAGATAAACAATCTATCACAAGATATGTAACATCAAATATGCCATCTACGACGGATGTAATAACAGTAATATCACAATCAACAGATGTAACAATGGAACTACACCCTACTGCAGGTGTAAGAACCAACATTCCTACTACTACAGCTCTTCCAACTACAATATTGGCACCTACATCTGTTACAAATGCAACAAGAGCAATTGGACCTACGATACATGTACCCACTACTACAGATGTTCCAACTGTGACAGATGTAATAACACACATGCCTCAAACTACAGATGTAACAACACCGAAACCATCTACCACAGATGTAATAGCACAAATACAATCTACCACAGATGTAACAACAGACATAAAATCTACCTCAAATGTAACAGTAAAAATACCATCTACCACAAATGTAACAACGGGCATAGCTCCTACGATAGGTGTACAAACAGACAGGCCATCTACGACATCTGTAATAACAGACATACCATCTACAGCAGATATAATAACAGATATATCATCTATCGCAGATTTAACAACACAGAAACCATCTACTACAGATGTGATAACAGATATACCGTCTACAACATATATACCATCTATCACAGATGTAATAACAGTCATACCATTTACCAATGATGCAGAAACAAATATACCATCTATCACAAATGTAACAACAAATATACTATCTACAAAAGATGTAACAACAAATATACTATCTACAAAAGATGTAACAACAAATATACTATCTACAAAAGATGTAACAAAAAATATACTATCTACAAAAGATGTAACAACAAAAATACTATCTACAAAAGATGTAACAACAAATATACTATCTACAAATGATGTAATAACTGAAATATCCCCCACAACAGATAAATCTTCTAATACGAGTTTAACAACCACAGATGTAATAACAGATATACCATCTCCAGCAGAGTTAGTAACAGATATACGATCATCCACAACTGATGTAACAACGGAAATAACCCCTACAACTGCGACAGATGTAATAACACACCCACCATCAACAGGTGTACCAACTACAGGTGTAAAAACCAACATTCCTACTACTGCAGGTTTAACAACGGACACATCTACTACTACAGATCTAACAAAGGTTCCCTCTACGATATATGTAATAACAGACATAGAATCTACAACATATGTAATAACAGATATACCATCTACGAGAGATGTAATAACAGACAAACAATCTATCACAAAATATGTTACATCAAATATGCCATCTACGACGGATGTAATAACAGAAATATCACAAACAACAGATGTAACAATGGACATACACCCTACTACAGGTGTAAGAACCAACATTCCGACTACTACAGGTCTTCCAACTACGATATTGGCACCTACATCTGTTACAAATGCAACAAGAGCAATTGGACCTACGATACATGTACCCACTACTACAGATGTTCCAACTGTGACAGATGTAATAACACACATGCCTCAAACTACAGATGTAACAACACCGAAACCATCTACCACAGATGTAATAGCACAAATACAATCTACCACAGATGTAACAACAGACATAAAATCTACCTCAAATGTAACAGTAAAAATACCATTTACCACAAATGTAACAACGGGCATAGCTCCTACGATACGTGTACAAACAGACAGGCCGTCTACGACATCTGTAATAACAGACATACCATCTACAGCAGATATAATAACAGATATACCATCTATCGCAGATTTAACAATACAGAAACCATCTACTACAGATGTGATAACAGATATACCGTCTACAACATATATATCATCTATCACAGATGTAATAACAGTCATACCATTTACCAATGATGCAGTAACAAATACACCATCTATCACAAATGTAACAACAAATATACTATCTACAAAAGATGTAACAACAAATATACTATCTACAAAAGATGTAACAACAAATATACTATCTACAAAAGATGTAATAACTGAAATATCCCCCACAACAGATAAATCCTCTAATACGAGTTTAACAACCACAAATGTTATAACAGATATACCATCTCCGGCAGAGTTAGTAACAGATATACGATCATCCACAACTGATGTAACAACGGAAATAACCCCTACAACTGCGACAGATGTAATAACACACCCACCATCAACAGGTGTACCAACTACAGGTGTAAAAACCAACATTCCTACTACTGCAGGTGTAACAACGGACAAATCTCCTACTACAGATCTAACAAACGTTCCCTCTACGATATATGTAATAACAGACATACAATCTACAACAGATGTAATAACAGATATACCATCTACGACAGATGTAATAACAGATAAACAATCTATCACAAAATATGTAACAACAGATATATCCTATAATACGAGTTCAACAACCACAGATGTAATAACAGATATACCATCTCCGGCAGAGTTAGTAACAGATATACGATCATCCACAACCGATGTAACAACGGACATAACCCCTACAACTGCGACAGATGTAATAACACAACCACCATCAACAGGTGTACCAACTACAGTTGTAAGAACCAACATTCCTACTACTGCAGGTGTAACAATGGACACATCTCCTACTACAGATCTAACAAACGTTCCATCTACGATATATGTAATAACAGACATACAATCTACAACAAATGTAATAACAGATATACCATCTACGGCAGATGTAATAACAGATATACCATCTACGACAGATGTAATAACAGATAAACAATCTATCACAAAATATGTAACATCAAATATGCCATCTACGACGGATGTAATAACAGTAATATCACAAACAACAGATGTAACAATGGACATACACCCTACTGCAGGTGTAAGAACCAACATTCCTACTACTACAGCCCCTCCAACTACGATATTGGCACCTACATCTGTTACAAATGCAACAAGAGCAATTGGACCTACGATACATGTACCCACTACTACAGATGTTCCAACTGTGACAGATGTAATAACACACATGCCTCAAACTACAGATGTAACAACACCGAAACCATCTACCACAGATGTAATAGCACAAATACAATCTACCACAGATGTAACAACAGATATAAAATCTACCTTAAATGTAACAGTAAAAATACCATCTACCACAAATGTAACAACGGGCATAGCTCCTACGATACGTGTACAAACAGACAGGCCGTCTACGACATCTGTAATAACAGACATACCATCTACAGCAGATATAATAACAGATATACCATCTATCGCAGATTTAACAACACAGAAACCATCTACTACAGATGTGATAACAGATATACCGTCTACAACATATATACCATCTATCACAGATGTAATAACAGTCATACCATTTACCAATGATGCAGTAACAAATATACCATCTATCACAAATGTAACAACAAATATACTATCTACAAAAGATGTAACAACAAATATACTATCTACAAAAGATGTAACAACAAATATACTATCTACAAAAGATGTAACAACAAATATACTATCTACAAAAGATGTAACAACAAATATACTATCTACAAAAGATGTAATAACTAAAATATCCCCCACAACAGATAAATCCTCTAATACGAGTTTAACAACCACAGATGTAATAACAGATATACCATCTCCGGCAGAGTTAGTAACAGATTTCCGATCATCCACAACTGATGTAACAACGGAAATAACCCCTACAACTGCGACAGATGTAATAACACACCCACCATCAACAGGTGTACCAACTACAGGTGTAAAAACCAACATTCCTACTACTGCAGGTGTAACAACGGACACATCTCCTACTACAGATCTAACAAAGGTTCCCTCTACGATATATGTAATAACAGACATACAATCTACAACATATGTAATAACAGATATACCATCTACGAGAGATGTAATAACAGACAAACAATCTATCACAAAATATGTTACATCAAATATGCCATCTACGACGGATGTAATAACAGAAATATCACAAACAACAGATGTAACAATGGACATACACCCTACTACAGGTGTAAGAACCAACATTCCGACTACTACAGGTCTTCCAACTACGATATTGGCACCTAAATCTGTTACAAATGCAACAAGAGCAATTGAACCTACGATACTTGTAGCCACTACTACAGATGTTCCAGCTGTGACAGATGTAATAACACACATGCCTCAAACTACAGATGTAACAACACCGAAACCATCTACCACAGATGTAATAACACAAATACAATCTACCACAGATGTAACAACAGACATAAAATCTACCTCAAATGTAACAGTAAAAATACCATCTACCACAAATGTAACAACGGGCATAGCTTCTACGATAGGTGTACAAACAGACAGGCCATTTACGACATCTGTAATAACAGACATACCATCTACAGCAGATATAATAACAGATATATCATCTATCGCAGATTTAACAACACAGAAACCATCTACTACAGATGTGATAACAGATAAACCATCTACAACAGATATACCATCTATCACAGATGTAATAACAGTCATACCATTTACCAATGATGTAGTAACATATATGCCATCTAACACAAATGTAATAACAACTATACTATCTGTAAAAGATGTAACAACAAATATAATATCTACAAAAGATGTAATAACAGAAATATCCCCCACAACAGATATATCCTCTAATGCTAGTTTAACAACCGACATGTCATCTACCACACATTTGATAACAGACATATCATCTACGACAGATATAATAACAGATATACCATCTCCTTCAAATTTAGTAACCGATATACGACCATCCCCAACCGATGTAACAATGGATATAACCCCTACAACTGCGACAGATGTAATAACACACCCACCATCAACAGGTGAACCAACTACAGGTGTAAGAACCAACATTCCTACTACTGCGGGTGTAACAACGGATATATCTCCTAATACTGGTGTAACAACGGAAACATCTCATACTACCGACTTAACAAACGTTCCATATACGATATATGTAATAACAGACATACCATCAACGACAGATGCAATAACAGATATACCATCAACGACAGATGTAATAACAGATATACCAATTACAACAGCTGTAACAACGGACATAACTTCTACTACACTTGTAACAACAGATATGCCTCCAACTACAGATATAACGGACGTTCCATCTGCCCTACACGCAATAAAAGACATAACATCTACAACAGGTATATTAACAGATATACCATTTACCACAGCTTTTGTAACAGATATACCGTCGACCACAGATGTAACAACACATATACAATCTACCAGAAATGTTACAACAAATATACCATCACCGAAAAATGTAACAATGGACATATATCCTACTACAAACGTAACAGTTGTTCCATCTACGATAGATGTAATAACAGCCATACCATCTACGGCATTTGTAATAACAGATATACAATCTACAACAGATGTAATAACAGATATACTATCTACGACAGATGTAATAACAGTTAAACCATCTATCAGAAAATACGTAACATCAAATATTACATCTACGACGGATGTAATAACAGACATATCACAAACAGATGTAACAATGGACATACACCCTACTACAGGTGTAAGAACAAATATTCCTACTACTACAGGTCTTCCAACTACGATATGGGCACCTACATCTGTTACAAATACAACAAAAACAATTTTAGCTACGATACATGTACCCACTACTACAGATGTTCCAACTATGACAGATGTAATAACACACATGCCCCCAACTACAGATGTAACAAGACCAAAACCATCTACTACAGATGTAATACCAGAAATACAATCTACCACAGATGTAACAACAGACATAAAATCTACCAAAAATGTAACAGTAAAAATATCATCTACCACAAATGTAACGGACATAGCTCCTACGATAGGTGTACAAACAGACAAGCCATCTACAGCATCTGTAGTAACAGAGATGTCGTTTACCACAGATGTAATAACAGATATACCATCTACCGCAGATGTAACACCACACAAATTATCTACCACACATGTAAAAATAGATATACCGTTTACATCAGATATACCATCTAACACAGATGTAATAACAGTCATACCATCTACCAGTGATGTAATAACATATATGCCATCTACCACAAATGTAACAACAACTATACTATCTACAAAAGATGTAACAACAAATATACCATCTACAAAAGATGTAACAACAAATATACTATCTACAAAAGATGTAATAACAGAAATATCCCCCACAACAGATATATCCTCTATTACTAGATTAACAACCGACATGTCATCTACGACACATTTGATAACAGACATATCATCTACCACAGATGTAATAACAGATATACCATCTCCTTCAAATTTAGTAACCGCTATACGACCATCCCCAACCGATGTAACAATGGATATACCCCCTACAACTGCGACAGATGTAATAACACATCCACCATCAACAGGTGTACCAACTACAGGTGTAAGAATCAAGATTCCCACTACTACAAGTCTTCCAACTACGGCATATGTAGTAACACACATACCCCCTACTGCAGGTGTAATAACTGACATACCTAATACTACAGATTTTCCAACTGCGACATATGTAATAACACACATACCAACAACAGGTGTACTAACGGACATATACCCCACTACAGGTGTAAGAACAGACATTCCTATTACTACAGGTCTTCCAACTACGACAGATGTAGTAAGACATATACCTCCTAATACAGGTGTAACAACGGACATACCCCCTACTACAGTTGTAAGAACCGGCATACCTACTACTACAGATTTTCCAACTACGACAGATGTGGTAACACGCATACCAACAACAGGTGTAAGAACTAACATTCCTAGTACTTCAGGTCTTCCAACTACGACAGATGCAGTAACAAACATACCTCCTACTACAGGTGTAACAGCGGACATATCTCCTACTACACATGTGACAAACGTTCCATCTACGATATATGCAATAAAAGACATACCATCAACGACAGATGTAATAACAGGTATGCCATTTTCCACAGATGTAATAACACATATACCATCTATGAAAAATGGAACAACGGACGTTGCAACTACTGCAGATGTTACAAGGGACACACCGTCTACCACAAAAGTAATAGTAGGCTTACCATCATCCACGACAGATGTAACAACAAATATACCAGTTACGATAGATGCAACAACGGAAATACCGCCAATTACAAATGTAACAGATAAACTATCTCTGATTCATGTAATAACAGACATACCACCAACCACCGATGTAACAACAGATATACCATCTACGAAAGACGTAACAACATACATATCATCTAAGATAGATGTAACAAAAGACATTCCGTCTAGGATAGATCAAATAACGGGCGTGCCTCATACTGTAATAACACAGATACCATTTACCACAGATGTAATAACAAATATACCAACTGATATATCACCTAAAACTGTTACAGGTGTTACAACAAAAATACCACCTGAAACAAGCGTGTATACAGAACGATCAACTGTACCAGTCAAGGGGGTAACATCTACAACGCGTGTAGGAGTAAAAATACCCACCTCTTTAAAACCTAATATACCACCAACAATCATCGGGGATCTAGCAACACAGTCGTCGTCTACTACAACTTATGTTAACGATACGACTGTCAGTTCTGGTAAGTATTTAAATACTTGAATGTTTTGTATCTAGTCTGTGATTGATGCAAGAAATTCTGTAATGTTTTGATAACATTTCTGTCACACTTGCCATTATATTTACAATTGTAGAAACATCTACAGCAGATGTAATAACAGATATACTGTCTACGGCAGGTGTAACAACATATATACAATCTTCCACTGATGTAATCACATATATGCCACCTACCACACATGGACCAACAAACATAGTATTCACTACAGATGTATTAACAGACATATCACCCACAACAGGTCCAACAACGGATATACCCTCTACTACAGGTTTAACAATCAACGTGCCATCTACCACACATTCAATAACACACATATCATCTACCCCAGATGTAATAACAGATATACCATCAACCACAGCTATAATGACAGATATATCATCAACCGCAGATGTTACAGCTACGCCAGATAAAATAACACACATACCTCCTACTACAGGTGTAACAACGGACACACACCTTACTATAGATGGAGCAAACGTCCCGTCTACCACGGATGTAATAACAGATATACCATTCACGACATATGTAGCAACAGGTACACCTTCTTCTTCACGTGTAACAACATACATACCCCCAACTACATATATAACAGACGTTCCATTTACGATAGATGTAATAACAGATATTCCATCCATGACAGATTTAAAAACAGATATACCATCTACGACAGATGTAACAACACAAATATCATCAGGGGTAATAACAGAAATATCACCCACAACAAGTGTAACAACCGACATACCTATTACTACTGCAGATTTAAAAACACGCATAGATGTAACAGACATACCATCTACGACAGAAGTAATACCAGGTATAGAAGGCATACCATCTACCACCGATCTAAAAACAGATATGCCATCTACCACGGATGTAATAACAGACATTCCATCTACGATATATGTAACAACACACATACCTTCGACAGATGTAATATCCACGATAGATGTAGTAACAGATACACCATCTAATACAGATGTATTAACAAATACATCATCTACCACAGATGTATTAACAAATATACCATCCACCACAGATGTATTAACACATATACCATCTGTGAAAAATATAACTGAAGTACCGCCTACTGCATATGTAACAACGGACATACGATTTACCACAAATGTAATAACACACATATCATCTACCGCAGATGTAATAACAGACATAACATTACCGACAGATGTAACAACAGGTATACCCTCCACAACAGAAGTAATACCAGGCTTACCATCTACGGCGAGCGCAATAGCAAAAATATCATCCACAACAGATGTAACTACTGATATACCAGCTACGGCAAGTGAAACATCGGACACACCGCGTAATACAAATGTTGCAGACGTACTATCTACTATAGATGTAATAACAACCATACCAACTAGCACCGATGTAACAACGTATATACCATCTACGCCAGATATAACAACATATATACCAGCTACGGCAGATATAACAACTGACCCACCATCAACGATAGATGTAACAGACATACCGTCTAGGAAAGGTGATACAACTATAACTTATGTTAGCGATACGACTGTCAGTTCTGGTAAGTTTTTCAATACTTGAATGTTTTGTATCTAGTCTGTGATTGATGCAAGAAATTCTGTAATGTTTTGATAACATTTCTGTCACACTTCCCATTATATTTACAATTGTAGAAACAATATTTACCACAGACCATATTCGAAGCAATAATAAATCTGGTTATTAAATAATTTTGTTTTTACAGGTGCAATTTTATGTGTAACGTTATCACTACAGAAAGACTATGATGTTAAATATAGTGATAAAACATCTACAGAATATATATCATTAAAGACAAGTTTAGAGATAGGGGTAAGAAATAAGTTATGTGGTCGTTTCTAGTTAAATCAATAGAAAATATAATGTAGTATAACTACCTAAACAGTATTTTTAATATTTACAGTTATAAGTTATATGTGGTTGTTCATCTTTTTATATAAACTCAAGCTAATCAATATCAAATGTACTCATATTAAAACGTAATGTCGTATAGCTACGTAAATAGTATATTTAATATTTCCAGATGAAGAGCGTCCTCAATAGTTCCAGTATATTGTCTATAGCTGTTACTGATATAAGGTATGTGACAAGATCCCCGGTTTAAGTGTTTTCTGGTAACAAATATCTTTTTTTTATTCGTTTGGTTTTGTTTGATTGGACTACAATTGTCAATTAAGCCACAGGATATATAGATATTCTTCAAAAAAAAAGAAAAGAAACGCTTAGTGAAATTTCTTCGTCAGTATACCCTCGCTCTACCATCACCACGTTGCAACTGAAACCACGACTCGTCGCACATCCAAACTGTTCTCCAGGATTGCTGTGGCCATACCCTGTATTTCTGAGCCCAATGAAGTCGGATTTGACAGTGTCGGCGTGTCAAAACAACAGTTCGTAATCCGGCTTCACGTAGGCGGTTACGGACAGTTTGAGATCCTACGCCGTCCAGGAATTGCTGCTGCAGTAGAGGTCGCTTTTTTGAACAGTTCCCGCAAATGACGTAACTGGCGAGAGAGGGAAACATTAAGCATGTGCATCTGATTTTCAAAACCGAAAATACCCGGGATTGTAAAGGCCTTAGATTTGGGTTTCATGAGAAAAGTGTGCGAAGTTGATAAACTTATGTGTCTTTGTGCAATCACGCATAAACAAATTTCAACAAAAAGTATGACCATTCACAATATAAAATCAATAATGAATTTATTTTATCCTTTCATAATGACATTAAAAACAAGTAAGATTTATTGAAACGACGATCACGTTCAAACAAAAAATTGCGAGATACAGATCTATTTGGGATAATGATAATATTGCCAATGGCCCGGGTCGCATAACTTTAACATACCATCCTTCACAGAAACAATTCTCACTCGATTTATTTTCGTGGCATGAGAAATACAGCTACGATGAATCCGTTTATTTTAATGTAAGGTAATTTTATTTTTAAATAGTTAACAGACCAAAAAGCACCCATAAAAAAACCGTAAAAGAAAATCTGAACTCATTTCATATCTTATTTCATGGAAGACAGAGCATTCTTATCTATAAAAATATATCTTCTTGACAACTGTTTAAAATGGACAATTTCTTGGTATTAATGGTCTATAATACATGACATATTTCATAATTTCATATGCATGAAGATTTGTAAACTGATCAATCAATTATCTCAAAAGTGTTTACTGAAAAATATTATAGGCCTATTTTAAATTAAATTTTAATATCTTGCATGTATATTATTTATTGATGAAGGCTTACGTTAAAAACATAAAAATCAGAGAAGTATTAGGAGCCAAATGTATTTTATCTTGGGGAAAAAACATTTTAATTTAGGCATTATCCACTAAGGTGTGTGGCACTTTGGCAGTTTCAAAGTATCATTGAAAGGGTATATGGGGATGGCATCTCAAATCTAGGCATCGGAACATTGGTTATTTGGTGGATTATTTTTAAAGATCTTAAATACTTTCAAAACCTGACAATAAGTTACAGCTTAGATTAGTTGTTTGAGTTGGGCCTGACATCGGAAAACTCCGTTTATTAATCTTTTAAAAATATTAATCATATTTTATAAATTCCCGAAAGACACCCAGAAATATCATATGTTTGTGACAATTCTCAATAGTTTATGTTATCCAAAATACCGTAACTACGAAATTCCAGCGATTTAGTTCACCGATACGCATTATTTCCATTGACGTCTGCGAGTAAATCAAATGCCAAGGTCACGAAAGCAGCGTGCAAGTTAAAATCGAACCCACTGATACATTTCGAAACGAATAATACGCAATAAACTCATTTATTGCATCTCTCTACAACTGGCTGACCATGTGTAAACATTGCTACAACGTATGAAACTCTCTCATTGATATTGTAAACGTCAGTTCAGCATGTCAGCATTTTTCAGTTCCGAAGCCTTTCGAATCAGTTAAGATTCAATTTTACCCTACAGTCGTTTTTCGTGAAACGCATAAAATTTAGAATAGCATTTTGATTTTAGTGATTTGTGAAACAGGGCCCTGGTAGTAGACCGTGAGTTAATGCTACATTATGTAAGAATTAAATCTGTCTATTGCAGGTCTACATGACAAGCCCATAATGAACTCTCTAGATCATTAGTATTACAGTAGAACATGGATTAACACTGTTAACATTAATATTATTGTAATCTAGTAGCATTATAACAAACTATGAATTAACACTATCATGATCTGGTAGTATCACAGCAGATTATTAATTACCACTATCATCATTAATGTTTGTATATTTGTAGACCTGATAGTATTATAGTAGACTATAAACTAATACTATCAACATTAATGTTTGTATATTTGTAGACCTGGTAGTATTATAGTAGACTATGAACTCACATTATCAACAGATCCTGTTATAAAAGATTGTAAACAAGACCGTATTTGTCAATCAATAGCTAAGAAACTAGTTACTATAGAGAATACCAACTGTTTTCTACTGGATAATGTTTGTACACAAATATCTGCTCCAATACATGTCTTTTATGGTGAAAAAACTGATAATTCTACTGAAGGTAAAGCGCCACTTTAACTGTCATTACTGTTATTTAGCTAAACGATTACCCCCTGTAAGATTTCACTGCTGGGAAGTAAACTTTGTTTACTTACCCCTATGAGCCACTGACCCCATTTGTAAAATTTCAGATTTCACCACTATTTGATTTTCGATTTTTCAGCCCCACAATTGCAGATGTTAGCCGCAAAAATGGTTTTTCATTTGCATATTGTGCCTATGATTTATATTAAACACGAAATTATATGTTCAAATCCTTTCTACGTGTAACTTCACATCACACGGCGTCGTACATTATTTATATACGGCGTAGTAACGTAAACTGGTCCTTCCGAATATTCACTGCTGATCACTTTGAGAAATCAGTTAAAAACTATAGTCTCTATCGCGTTCACAGGGTTTTGGGGAAAAGAGGGATAACTCTGGAACGAAAGGTCGTAGCACGCTTAATATGCTTCTCAGAATATTTGGAAACGTCCGTTAAAAATTGTAGCCTCTACCGGGGGGATTACTCCGGGACGAAAAGTCACAGCGCTTTGAATTTCTCATGATTTTTTACAAAAAATCCGTTAAAGGGTATAGCCTCTGCAGCTATCAATAGTGTTCAGCCACTCATGATTTGAAAGAAGGGGGTTCACGGTGGCTAAATGGGTAAGACGCTGGCTCGCTAGCCTGGAGGTCGGACGTTTGATCCCTGCATTGGCCGAGAAGGTTCATCCAGATTTTCCGACGTGGTTTCCCCTTGTCAGTGATGCAGGAAGGAGGGCCTGACAAGGACAGCTGTCTAGTCGTTCGGATGGGACGAAAAACCCAGGTTCCACGTACACATTGGCGTACACTTAAAAGATCCCTTGACATTTGGAATTCGATATAAGAGTAGGCCGTAGTGTCGCTGTCCGGGCAAAATTTCCCTCATAGCTTAAACCGCTCTAACAAAAAAGCTTTTTCGGGTACGGCATGAAAAAATAAAACATTTTTACTGACACCAGCTTTCGGTTTAAGTATATTGGGGTTTTAATGCCGTAATACTTTAGGGCAGAGTGTGAAAAAAATGTTCGCTATCTTCTTGAATATCAGCTCCTTCCATTTAGTCAACCATTTGTTAATCAAACTCAAATCTATAGTTCACATTCGCCCGTAGTTTCAATAGTAGTCTGCCCCACCATAAATAAATATCTCCAAATATCTCGACAATTACACCACAATACTTATATATATATACTAAGCTTTAAATCAGTTTCGCACAATTAGAGTCACTAAATAAACGGTTATTTTGTACTTAATAAGATATGACCATTTAACCATCTATAAATAATACACTGAAAAATGGTTCGGAGTGTCGTCCATGACATCCAGACACTTTTGAGCAAAAAATAGGTTGCGTGCCCTTGTTTTGAAATTAGTCCCACTTAACCAGTCTACCGACCATTCTCCGTCTGATTGACAGGCCGGGATAATCAAGACTACTTTTTTACGAAACATGACAGAAAGCTAGAACAAGAAATTGAATTTACAAATAACGCCCAGTGGGCGACACAGAAATTGTTTTAAGAACCTTGTAAAAGTAAATTGAAACTACTGCTAGTATCATTTTCCTGCCCAACCCGCGTTATTCAGAGATATTATTTGTACTAAACCAAAAGATGCCACTCCTTACGGTCTAGTTAATGATAAAGCAATTTAAAAAATAAAACGAGCGTAATTTATAAAGCTGCAGTAGTAACCAAAAAGCTAAATATTACTGCTATTCAGAATCGTCAACAATAGATTTTTTACGTCTGTTATAGTTATTACAAGTGTTGAGCATTTCATGTGCTGTAGCTATTTATAGACACAAAGAGATTGCGAGACTCGTCTGAAATCAATTAGAGTTACGCCACTGAAGCGTGCACATTCAACGTGTCGAGTACAACTTTTAGTAGGGAAAAGTTTCGGCCACGGGGCACCCTATCAATAGGTAGATTTAATGGCGTATCGCACTAGTTCCCAACCTTTTATAGGTTGCGACCCCAATCCAGAAACCAGCATCTGATCCCGACACCTCGAAGAGCAAAGTCACCTTTTACTATTTACTATGAAACATCATCATTGCTACATTTATTATTGTTTTACTTATTTGACAAATTATGGTTTACATTTTTACACATTTATAAAAATTGAGGAAAGACGATTGGCAATGTGGCATGAGGTGTATATCAGAGATTTATATACTTTTCATGAAAAGTTTTTGGCGACCCAAGCTGCGGTCGCGACCAACAGCTTGGACACCCAGGCGTATCGTCTGTAAATAAAAGTATATTAGAGATGATGTTTTCTGTACTTTCATTGATACAAAAAAGGAAAAAAAGTAGACTTAATACTGATCCTTGGGAAACACCTGTGGTTATGTTATTCGGAATAGCACTGCCGCCTCTAATGATGACAGATTGTTTTCTGTTCGACAAATAATCTTCAATAATAGTTTACCTCGAATACCGAAACGGCTCCGGTGTTCGTCGGGTAGTCGTAACTCACCGGGTTTGCGCACAGGCTTTGCTTACCCCGGCCTGTGACGCATAATTGTTACAATTAGGTTTTCACATTTCTTACTTCATGTTCACGGTAAAATGTTGAGCCTACCTCAGTGATGCGTGTGCAATTTAATGGATCATTCTGACCTTTGACTATTCGTTAAATTTCATAAATACATGACATCAATTTTCACTAAGATGAAATGAAAACATGTACAGTAGAATCTGTATTCAACAGCCACTCAAGGAAGTTTTCTTGGCTGACCGCTTAATGACATTGACCTTTTCATAAAATCCCTATGTTTGATAGTTGCATAGGGAGCAAGTACTGATATTCGCATCGGTATATTTGGCCGTCGCTGAAATTCGCTATTTGAACGAAAATTCTTTGACTCAAATCTCCGATATCAAAAACTAGCGGAGGCTTCCAATTTTATTTGACTTAAATAATCATAAATCCCCCGACTCGCTGCATTACATATCTATAAGTTCAAAATTAACGGATCTTTGCTATTTGGAGAAACACTGAATACATCGTTTTGAAAAATCACAAGTTTTAAGAGGGAGCTCAAACACTGGAAGGTGTTAATATTACACTAGTGTATCTACTGTAACTGTCCGAAATTAATCATCCCCACATTTAAACCTACTGCAGAACGAGCAGTTAAAATACCTCAAAAATGAGCTAGGAAATAGCCTAAAATATGTCTTCTGAGGCCTGCCAACTTAACACCTGGGTTAGTGGTGTAAAAGTGTCCATTAAGCCCAGTTTTATAAAAATCCTTCCAGTGCACCATAACATTTGCATGGTTTTCTCCCGGACTCGTCATTAAAGTGTGTTATTGCGATCTAGGATAAAGTCCGTGATGACATTTAAACCCACTTGCTAAGATTGTTTAGTGGGGCCCCGAGTCGAAATGCATAAATGAAGGACATTAAACCCCATTTTATTTCATCTCAATTCATCTCATAAAATACAGCTTATAATAATCTTTTGTGGAATTAAAAAAGAATATTGTGTTACGGCCTGACCTTACAAATAAAAGGAGATATATCTCGCCATGTTAGTAGACTTTAGAGTCTTCTATATTTAAAACTTATATTTTAGAGAAAGTGGCCCAGTGTATAACCTGTAGTGGTGAGTGCGTGCTGGTTGGAACACGGTATCAATGTATGTAAGTGTAAACTTTTAGATTTATTTTAGTGCAACAGTAAGTATTCTCATTGTGTTAAAACATAACTTTTACCAGTCGATTAATTATGGATTTTTATCCAATATTCCCTACATAAGATCCAATGGATTTTTTGCTTTAATCTTTGCAGATTTGTCAAAAGAAAACCGATATAAATATTGTGGGGGTGGATTTGATAAAATCTTGTATTTCATAGAAAATGATATCATATTTCAAAGGTGTTTATACAGATTTGTCGGGTAATATTCATTTTAATTTTACTTTATAGGTCAACATCAATATCGTGTAAGTATTGTTTACCTCTATTTATTAGGCTAACATGACAAGTCAAAGAATTGTTTTACGGGGTTCCTCTTAATTTCGCAGGATTTACGTTGATAAAATCAGAGAATTAATACATTTGGTCTGGAAATGTCTAAATTGATGGTCAAACTATTTTAATTTAGTTACATAACTTAAAAGGGCATTAGGTAAGGTTATATAAAGAGCTGGCAGTTATCGCTATAACAGTTAAACATGGATATTGAAAACAGAATATGCTTAAAATTTCAGTCAAATTGCTTCATTCTGAACCGAGATATTAGCGATTCAATTTTAGGCTAGCCACGATCGTCATTACTACCCTTGGTACGATAATTAACAAATTCTCCATTAGCCCATTTACGTTAAAACATCCATCACAAATCCACTACATATTGTAGGCTAGCGATGACATCAAGACTTGATTATGGTCTGGATAAGTTATTTAATGTCTAATTAATAATTTAGATAACATTTAAGGCCCAAAGAAAGACCTTTAATAGGCAGATTTAGCTCTTGCATAATGCATGTTTAAACCTAGATTATTGTAGAAATGTCGCTATCTTTTCATTTGTCTGAATTCTGTTAGATGCGGCGGTTAAATGCTTACTACTTTTATAAAGACTGTCGCCCGTCCAACCTCATGGGTTTTCTCCGTGTCCTCCGGTTTCCCCCCACTGCTAAAAGCTCCCTACGCGCAAGCGAAATATTAAAATAAAATTGAACCTTAT